CGAGCTGCGTGCCGAACGTTGCCGACCCGTGCCTTATATCATTGCTGGAGGTGGGTAAGCAATTGGGATTTCTAGGTCATATTATCTGAATCTATAAGCAACAAGTTAAACATCCTTGTTGAAATTGCCTCAGGCACAGCAACAACTCAAGTGGCTAAAGAGCTGGTTTATACAAATAAAACACTGCTTTTATGCTCACATTTCTTTCTGCTACAGCACACACAAATTGATTGTTTCCTCCAGGCATAAATGCTACCTATTTCTCACTAACAGCTTAGCCAAGTATGAAACATACTGGCAATGGGAAAGTTATGTTCTCAGGCAAAAGTTAACAGACTTTTGAGCATATGTGGTGCCATTTTTAAACCTTATTTAAAATATTAAAGTTTGGGTATTTTGAGTAGTTATATAAAGTAACCTTCTCTCCCAATAATTTCTCTTTTTTTCTTCACCCAGTTATCATAGCCTGTACTGAAACTATTTTCATGCTGCCCTTAAGCCAATAAAGGGGGACCATCATGGACAGTAATTAACTCAAGAGGCCTTTTCATTGGTGACTTTGACTTTTGCACATTTTTGTTAACACATTGAGTTTTCATATAGATATTTAAAAAAAACCAAACAAAAACACACACTTTCCATGTTGCTTTGCAGAAAATTTCAGACATTAAGGCCCAATCCTCAAAGGAATCAAATGGGAGGACCCTTATGCTCTCAGAGTTCCACTGAATCTACAAAACTTAGAGGGAGTCTGCCTGTATGAATCCTTTTGAGGATTAGAGTCGAAACAAGTGGGAAGTGAAGTAAGACAGTGTACTAAAAATTTTGGAAGGCTAAAGCAGCAACTATGATCTTTTCATAAAGGTGCATCTGGAATCTTTAAGCTTCATGCCCACTCCCACAGTTACCTTTGACTCAAGGGTCTCAGTGGGTGATGCCCAAGGAACAAGAGTCCTACCCTCTCTCTCACACACACTAGTTACCATTATATTTACCTTGATTTTTGTTCACTTCTGTTGGTTGTCCTTTCTTCTGAGTCCATCTCTGAACCCTATTTAAAAAAAAAGTTTAGCAACTATAAATACCTCAGTTTATATATGCAATACCTAAAAAACGCCCAATTACTGCCAAAATTAAATATTGATGTATTTGAAAGTTTCTTTGCATTTTCAATTAAATTAATTTATGTGCGACTTCTCACAGACAGAGAAACTAATGCAATTACAGAAGAAGAGGGACTTTGATTTCAAAGCTGTCAATTGATTTAAGTGGAGCTATGACAATTTACACCAACTGAGGATCTGCCCTACATCTAGATTCAAGAAGAGAGAAAGCAATTTTTTTATAGTTATATTTGTGCTTTCCTTAACCCCAAATCTGAGTGGCAAGTGGAGGAAAGGCAGTTCATCTAACCGTACATCTCTTTTGCTTTCCAAAATATATAAATATCACATACATACACTCCTCCTCATTCAAGGCAATTGTGAAAGATTCATATGAAAATATTTTTAACAGCTTAAAAAGTGTTTCAGCTCTTACAAAACAATCCCATTAGCAAAGGCATACTACTGAATTTATAAGTCATAAAATACAAACATGATACAGAAAAAGAAAAGAAAATCTCTTCAAGGTTATTTCCTTAGGGTTATATTTAAACATGTTGTGTCTGGCTAAATAGGTAAACTTTGTTCTCAATACTATCCCTTCCCACATAGTCACATTTATTGTTATAAATTCACTGATGTCAACAGTCACCACTAGCAGTCCAGTGAACTTTACTGTATAATTCATTATTCCTCCAAGAAGTCCAAGTGATTTCATTTCAGTTAAATTAATCTGCTTTATGAAAATCCATAAGAAGATGAAAGGGTCAAAAATCAGCCATGTTCCCCAAAAGGCTGTTGGTCCTGTAATCCCGTTTACACAGTGAAACAGTCATTATGGCTACTCTACATCCTACCACAGAGCGTTGGGACTACTGGATCCACATAATTGCAAGACTTGCCCAGGACTCATGGAGACTCCATTTCTGCCGGGCACAAAGGGTGGAAGAGGCCTCCTACATAGCTGACCTCCTTACAGTCTCCTGCACAACTCCATTGCTAGGGTCAGTGGCTCAGAGGTTCTTGTGTCAGCCCTCTACTTCATGAGTAAATCAGATGACCAGATCACATGAAGAACAGAACAGACCCCATTAACAATTCATTATTTTAAATGAAGCATCTACAAGCATTTCTAAGTCACTTATTGGCATAGCATCTAGAAGCACCTATCCCAGCTGAGCTCTTTCTGCTCTAGAAATGCCATAGGCATTTTTTCTGGATTTGTGTAAAATATGTACATATCATTACTACTTCCATAGCATTATGAACCTCCCAACCTGAATGAACTGTCAATATTTTTTGTTTTATCCTTCTTGCAGTGAGTAGATTCTCAAGTGCAAAGTATAGTACTGTTCTGCTTATACAGTGCTAGCTAAAGAAAGTGCACGGATCTAACTTTCGGAAGAAAACAGAGCAAAATGGAGAACTCAAGTAAAGCTGTTATGTGTCGTCACATTTTTTAACCACCACCCTACATGCCTCAGAATTGGATGAACATTTACCATTTCAAAGTAACCTATGAAAGAATGCTACTGCCAGAGCTCTCCACACCAGCAGTAACCATAGTTCTCCACCTGCCACTATTGAGGAAGATCAAAAGTATTTATATGCCTATTAGAAATTGCGGAGGTTAACCACTTCCTCCAAAATAGGCTCATAGTTTAGCTCACACTTAAGAATACATATGACAAAATGCAATTTATAAAGCTAATTTTGCACACAACTCCAATAAGATGCCTCTGCTCTTTGAAACATATAGTAACTTTCTAAAATGATGTCATATCAGGAAAGTTTAGAGAATATTTCAGGTTCTGAAGAATTACTTAGCCCAGCCCCATCTATGACAAACAATTACTAATATTATGTTTTTGCTACAATAAAAACAAAACAGTCCAAAACATACCAAGGTGGCGAACATGACTAACTCATTCCCTGAAGACAAATTTATGATATTTAAGTTATTCAGGAGGCCAATTAAAGGTGTAAAACAAATTAAGAACTTTACCTTTCTGATATGCTATGTTTCACTAGTACAAACACTTAGGTACTCTGCAGGTCTCAAACTAATGAAAATTAGAGTAAGAAAATATTAAAAAGAAAAAGTGTCCGAGATGTCTGCCCTAGAGCAATTTTCTGTGTTACATCTCTTAAATTAGCATTCCTAACATTTCAGGTTGTCATGCAAACTTTGCTCATGACAGTAGTTGCATTTGGAGACGCATAAGGATTTGCAGGATAGGTCCTTTGTAGATCACAGAAGATAGAAAGATAATGACACTTCCTTTTACACAATTCCCTGAAATACAACATGACTGGAGGGCAGAACGAGTTTAAGCTACTTATTCACTTAAATACAAAGGTAAAGTTAAACTACAGTGAATAGGTCAACCTCTTCCCTCAGTTACACCAATGTAAATCCAGAATTAATCCACTGACCTTCATGGAGTTACTCTAGATTTATACTGGTGCAACTAAGATTATGAATTAGTCTGAATTTAATTCTATACTATAAAAAGACTATAGAACCAAGAAAACATTTTAAAACTGAGGGCACTGTACTCAGAATAAGGAAAAATATATATGAAAAAAATGAAATACACTCTACCTCGATAGAATGCTGTCCTCGGGAGCCAATATTTTTTTACCGTTTTATAGGTGAAGCTGCGTTATATCGAACTTGCTTTGATCCACCGGAGTGCGCAGCTCCCCCCACCCCCGGAGCACTGCTTTACCACATTATATACAAATTCGTGTAATAGCAGGTCACGTTATATCGGGGTAGAGGTATCAAGTATATGAAAACACAAAGACAGTATGTAAATAACCAATTCTAGTCTCATTTGGTTCCACTCAATCAAATAATCTGCTCCTTCCAATCCTTCCCCTCCTGAAAGCTATTCCCTTGTTGATCTTTTATTTGGGAAAGTATCCCTTTCTGTGTCTCTGCTGGAATAGTGAACTAATAGAATGCTCTCCTTCCAAGAAGTTTTCTTACCAAGAGTAAGGTCCAAAGTACCATCCTACTGCAACAACCTCAAGATGTATGCTGAAAAGTAACCTTTGCAAAGCTATGTCTCCCTCCAACAGCCTTCTCTAGACAATGTAAACCCCAAATAATCCCAGAACTGCATTTTGGCAGGTTAATTTAACTACATCATAATCCCTTAGAAAGTTCCAAGGCTTCATTAAATTAATTCTATTGCATTGGTTTGCTTTGGTTTTATAAAGAGGGGAAGAATAAATTTTAATTTGGCTGGAAAAGTTCACTGTTGTGGTGCTGAAGGCCCACACTGTGCAACCAGTTGCATGCGCCCAAACACATGGCCCCTGGAGCTTCTTGCAGGCTCTCAGGTCCATCTTCATGGAGCTTATTAAAGATTCCATTGCTTAACTTGTTGAGACATATTATGGGACCATTGGACAAAAATGAATAAAAGAAATGAAAAAAGTGTCTGCTAGAAGCACAAAAAGGGTTCTGATCTTAGATGTCACTTCTAGCTCTAAAGTATTTTTAGAATGAAAACATTTTTGCTGCTACACTTAATAACTCAATGCTTCCTTTCACAAATCCCATGGCAAACCATTACCCAAAATGTGTATCATCTTATCACTTGGGGAATTACAGCAGATTCAAAATCTAAAATAATAATCTATTTAGAACAAACCAGATAAAAATCTAGAAAACAAGATTAGTTTAACAGACTGAGTTTAAGGAGTGACTTGATTACAGTCCATAAGTACCTAAATGGTGAACAAATATTTAATAATGGTATCTTCAGTTTAGCAGAAAAAGGTATAACACAATCCAACGGCTGGAAGTTGAAGCTAGACAAATTCAAACTAAAAAAATAAATGACTTATTTTTGAACAGTGAGAATAATTAACCACTGGAACAATTTACCAAGGGTAATGGTCAATTCTCCATCATTGACCATTTTTAAATCAAGATTGGATGTTTTTCTAAAAGATAGGCTCTATGAATTATTTTGGGGAAGTTCTATGGCTTGTGTTACACAGGAAGTCAGATTAGATCATGATGGTCTCTTCTGGCCTTGCAATCTATGAATCGAGGGCTTCTCCAGATACATGGGATTTGAGGCAGCAATACAAAGGTAATAATTCTAAAATATCTGAACAAGAAAGTATAACCGCTTTACTCTGAAAAATATTGTACTGTACCATAACTCTCTCCATGCAATTTTGGGGGAATCAGTCCGTAAGAATACTGATAACTATAACTGTTAATATATCAGTAACTTTCCAAAATGATTGATTGTGTTAGAACACTTTGTATTTACAGTATGCACTACAATACTAGCTGTCAATGTTACCATCGCAGTTCCTACCATATCTTTCTGTTTCGGCCATACCTAATAGCGACTTTCTGCTTCTCAAAAGCTGTGTGCATAAGAGCAAGTAATCTCCATCAGAGTTTAATAGCCATAAGGAGGTAATTCATCACCGCTACTAGAGTAATCTCTGTACCTCTGCCTGGTCTAGCTCCTGACTTTGAAGGATCCAAGATACTAACAGAGGTGATGCTGTTAACATTTCTTCAGTGAACACCTAGAAAAGGGGAGGCTAGAGCTGGAATAGGAGTTAGTATTCAGTGTTGGTTTCCTGAGAATCAGCCGGCCTATCATATGGCTTCTTCAGGACAGATTGTCTTCTCTGCAGGAATCATCAATTATTTTGATCAGTAGTTGGACCGACTCTTTTTTTTTTTTTTAAACTACTATCTCTCACTACTCACCCTGGACTGGGTCTCTACTGGGTGACTCATATCCCTGATGTCCCAGACCCTCAAAGTTTCCAGTGCCTCTACTTGTGTGACTGATTCAAACTCAATGAGGGTTAATTGATCCTTAGTATGTATTCTAGCTTGGTATCCTCTCTCCTAAAGATACTATCCTCTATTTAGTGGATCTCCTTGCAAGCAGGCACTTAGGCTTGGAAGTTGGTTAATGCAATCTGGTTTATCAGATAGCGTGCTAATTGACTACTTGAAAGAGCTCTGCAGACAATACCTGGTAGAGTTTATAGCAGAGAAGAAAATGCATTTAAGGTGTACCTCCTTCCCCCTCCCCCCACATGCACACCAATTTGCTCTGAAACAAGAATAGGTCAGTATCAGACTAGATAGGCCAATAATCTCCTGCAGGCAACAGTTCCTGTATTCCTCTTTAGGGAGAAGTTTCTCAGTCCTACCAGCAGTGATGTAGCCAAGTCAGAAACATTCCAAAAAGGCTTTGGACTCTGCTTCTGAATTATTTCCCTGTTTGATGCCTGCATAAAATGTCAGTCACTCATCTCCCTTCCAAGGGTATCTGCAGCCACGAGTTCAATTTATGCAGGTTACATTTGTTTTTTTTAACCCAAAGGAAACCCCGCTGAGAAGCACAGCCAGCACATTACCTGCTCGGGAAGGACGCTTGTAACAGGAATTCAGTAATGACTCTGCCCAGCTACGTGGTCTAAAAGTAGAAGTCGTAGGGTTGGGGGGCGCTGCTATTTTGACCCATGACAGCTTAACCCCCCCCCAGCCGTGTGACCTCCGCACGCCCGGAGCGTCGTGCCCCCACGCGCGGGGACGGGGACGGGCTCGCGCCGCCGGGAGGCCCCCTCCCCTCGCAGGGTCCGGAGCTGCGCGCGCGGAGCCGCTCCCAGCAGCGCCAAAAGGCAGTAACGGCCCGTGCTCGGGGTGAGGGGCAGAGAACGAGCCCGCCGCGCGGCGCCAAGCAGGCAGCGCCTGACGGGGGGAGAGGCGGGATGGCCGGTGCAACGTCCGCGCGCACCGCCCACAAACCTGCCGGGCTCCTCCGCCGTTATCCGAGCGCGCGGCCGCCTCTCTCGCGGCTTCACCCCTAAGGGCGCCGGCGGGAGGGGGCGGGGCCAGCAGTTCAGCCCTGGCGGTGGCGGCGGCGGCGGCGGCTTCTTCCCCCGCCCGGCTGGTGTCCTCTCAAACACCGACCCTCGCCCAGGGTCCGCCCATGGCTTAGCCCCGCCGCGCCTCCGTGGGGAGACTCGCCCTCTGCTCTAGCTCTAAATACCCTGCAGCCCCCTCCCGCGGTGCAAGTCTCCCCACCGTGGGGCAGGTGCGCTGTCAGCCAACACCGGGACCCCACTCAGGGCGCCTCTGCGCTAGACGGCTGAGCCTAGGGTTACCATATCTCATAAATAAAAAAAGAGGACCCTCCACGGGCCCTGGCCCCGCCCCTTTGTAAACCCCTAGCCCCGCCCCAACTCCGCCCCTCCTCCATCCTAACTCCGCCCCCTCCTCCCTCCCACTCCCAGCCACGGGGAAAGGGCTGCCCCAGTGCTACCGGCTTCAGGGTTTGCCGGGCAGCCCCCAGACCCTGCGCCCCCAGCCGGTGCTTCCCCAGCGCAGCTGGAGCCCGTGAGGGGAAGCACCCAGCCGGGGGACGCAGGGTCTGGAGGCTGTCAGGAAAACCGTGAAGCTGGTAGCGCTCGGGCTTTGGGCAGCCCCTATGCCTCCGGACCCTGCGCCCCCAGCCGGGCACTTCCCTCCCGGGCTCCGGCGGCGCAGGGTCCGGAGGCACGGGGGCTGCCCGAAGCCGGTAGTGCTCAGGCAGCCCGGCTCTTAAACAGAGTCGGGGAGGAGCAGAGCCGCCATTTTCCCGGACATGTTCGGCTTTTTGGCAATTCCCCCCGGACGGGGGTTTGACTGCCGAAAAGCCGGACATGTCTGGGAAAAAGAGGACGTATGGTAACCCTAGCTGAGCCTTGACAGCTTGAGCTAAAGGGCCTGTGACACCACTTCTGGGGCAATTCTGCACCACTGCGCAGGTGCGGAATTACTGTCACACACACCCCCCGCCCCGCATTGCTTGTATGGGAGAGCAGAAGGGGAGCTGCAATTACACCTTTTCCCCAAGAGGTGGTGCCAGAAGCGAGGGCAGCCGCTCACGGGCGGGAGCTGCCAGCCGAGGTGAGGGAGAGGGAGGCTTCCTCACAGCGCCCTGCCTGCGGGGCAGGTGAGGAGGCTCGGAGTATGGGGGTGTGGACAGAGTGGGGCACACAGGGCTGCTGGGGGGGTCACACAGACGGGTTCAGAAGGGCTAGTGGGGGGGAGAACGAGCAGGGGCACAGGAACTGCTGGGGTGATAACACTGAGGCAGGGGCTGAATGGGAGTGGGGGTGCAGGGACAGATGGGGGAGTGGGGATGGCTGAGTGGGAGTGTAGGGGCAGCTATGCCTGGCTGAATGGAGAGTGGGGGTGCAGGGGCAGCTATGCCTGGCTGAATGGAGAGTGGGGGTGCAGGGGCAGCTATGCCTGGCTGAATGGAGAGGGGGTGCAGGGCCACATGGGGAGAGGGGTAGATGTGCCTGACTTAACGGGAGAGGTTAGGGGTCAGACAAGGTCTGCATCGGGGAGGATCCCTAACAACCCCCCTCCTCCAAAAAAACCTGTTCCATACTTCTCCCACTCACTCCAAACAACCCTCCAGGTTCACTCCCAGGCTCCTTCTCAGCAATTACTTCCCTCTCTCTCAGCTCCTCTGTTACCCCTGACTTCCCCAAGCCTTTGCATTACTTCTGAGCAATGCAGGAAATGTTTCTGTATTGTTATAATAATTGATCCCTCTCTGCTATTTAAATGTGTGTAAAGGATTGAAAACTGAATGGTATTTTTAGATGTCTAATAGAAACACACTCACAGCGAAAATATTTCCTTTTGCTGAAGGAAGGGAAGTGTAAACACATTTAGAGGAGGTCTGTAAAACTAGAAAGCACAGCTGGAGGGGAACTGTGATTTTGGAACCTCTGCTTTTTATTGAAAAAAATCATTCACAAGTCTACTGGCCACTTCACTGAGTATTATTTCTGAAAGTTGTTTGGGATCTAAAACAGAAACTGTTGTGCAATTATGGAGTTGCTATTACAACTCTGTAACATTTGGAGATACTATTGTCTTATAAACATCTAAGCCCCGTGAACTGTCCCTTTCTTGTCTCTGAATTGGATCTGAGTTGGGACTTTTCAAAGTCTCCTATATATTAGGAAAGACAGATAAAAACCCTCTTCTCCACTGCCTCATTTCACTATCTCCTTCTTTCCCCTTCATCCTTCCCACAAATGAATTTTTGAGTTAAGGAGGCAATATGGTCTCATGGAAGAGCCTCAGATTGGATTCAGCAGATCTAGCTCTGTTGCCATCTCTGCTACTGACTTACTGTGGGAGCTTTGGTAAGCCATTTAACCATTCTGTGCCTCAGTTTCTCTATGAAAGGCAGATGATAATATTACCCACATCTGAAAAATGAATTAAGACCTATGGATGAAAAGTGCTAACTATTATTATTAAAGAAGGCAAAAAGAATAAACTGACAGTCTGTGTTAAATAGCAGACATTTAAATAGCAGAGAGGGATCAATTATTATAACTAGTCAACAAAGAAAAAACAAGAACTAATCACCTTAAGCTCGGCAAAGAGATATTTGAGGCTAGTATTAAGGAAAGCATTAGAACTATAAGAAAGCAGGATAGCAATGGAACTAACTGCAAAGGGAAACTGTGAAATTGTTTTCACTAGAGATATTCAAGGTTAGGCTTGACTGTCTGTAGGTTCAGGGATAATTAAATAAGATTGTGAACTCAGAGTATTAACAGTAGGTGGCATATGTTGTCTGTAATGATAAAGAAACATACCTTCCCTAGCAGGTTGTTGTATTTGGAAAGTCACTTTTGAGAGACAATAGTTACAGAACTCCTTATCAGGAGGCTCATTAATAGTGTTGAAATGTTTAGAACTGCTACATTAAAGTTCAGAATTCTGAGCTGATTTATATTCTGGACAGTCCCGTTGGTTAGTATAGTATTTGGCTCATACCATTTAGATCATTTCAGCCAGATTTTCTGGTAACATTGGTCTCCAATTTTGTGTTTACAATATTCGGGATTAATTTAGGCCACCTCACGAAAGTACAAGATTGTGTCTGAAAATCAGGAAGTTACATGTCTTGGGGGTACATCACTGCTTGTGATGCCACTCTTATTTTTACAGTACTTTTTTAAACAGACTTTTCAAAGCTAATTGTATTTACTGGCATAAAACTCCCTTGCTAAATGACCGCATATTTTTCCTGTCTCTTGTGGTCAATTATGAATCACTATTCCATCCTAAAATGTTGGGATATGGCCAAAGAGGTCAAGAGGGAGAACTGCAGCTTCATAGAGGATGGGGTTTGACCATCCTCTTTGCCCCCTTCCTACCTGTAAGAAGGGTAAGGAAGTGGAAACGATAGAGAAGGGTAGTTAGCATTGAACCAGAGTCCCAGTTTGTTGTTAGGAGAATTGTGTTGATAAAGGAGCTGTCTTAAAGACAAAATAAAATAAAATAAAAAAGTGTTCTAAGCTCTTGGGGTTCTTGCAAGAGTAATAGTATTAATTCTGATCAAATTCCAGTTTGCATGATTGCATTTTGCCTCTCTAAAACTGTCCATGTAATTTATATTGGACATTTTTCTTTACTTTATCATCTATAAAATTAATGCATTGTTGATGGTGTAGAAATCAAGGGTCCTGCAATGAAGTTTGACATCACTATATCTACAAAGATATAGCGGCCTGAGAATAAGGTCATGGAGAAAACACAAGGTGTATTGGGAAGAGATAGGAAGGAATGTAACCAAACCTATCACCACCTGAAAAAAATGTATTTGGTTCAATTTGGGGATGTGCAAAATTTCAGGCTAGTGATTATTTTGCCTGGAGCACTTCTCCACTCTCTAGTGTCAGCTCACTCAGAAAAGTATTTGTAGCATATTAATATGCCTGAGTAAACCTCAAGTTCAATAATCTATGTCACCTCCCCTGGAACCTGGTGATAACCCACACTATAACTCACGTTGCTTGGAACCCAGTGTCACTGTGAATGAAACTCCATTTGGCATTGCATTGTTAGAAAACTGGAACTTTACCAGCTTTAAATAATATGCTGACTGTCTAATAATATTGTGCTAACAGCAGATAAGACTCATAGTTGCTTACTAAATATTTTCCATTGCTCAAGAAGTAAGGTCACCCTCTCCTAGTTTACAATACTTCCTTTTCTTCTTTGTTTTACGTTAATTTAAAAAATAATGAGCAGAGTACTACATTATATAGGCACTGTACTTCCTTGGCATAGGACTAGAAAATTAGCCAAGGAAAAAAGCTATTAGCTTGTGAGATATGCCCCTACCCATATCTATATGGTAGTGATATTAGAAGGAGTGTTAGCATAGCTTTCAGAATCTTGCAATTTGTTCCTGCATTTATTCATTTATTTGTTTATGCATGTCTGAGACAGAAACAACAGTAAGAAATGTAGTGTAAAGTTCAGTAACAAGAGGCGTAGTAAGCGAGAGGTATAGTGTGTTGAATGCTGGGGATACTGAACTGAGAAGAGTTCTCTCTTAGGCCTGGTCTACACTACGGGTTTAGGTCGACTTTAGCAGCGTTAAATCGAATTAAGCCTGGACACGTCCACACAACGAAGCCCTTTCTTTCGACTTAAAGGGCCCTTTAAACCGGTTTCTTTACACCACCTTCGACGAGGGGATTAGCGATAAAATCGGCCTTTGCGGGTCGGAATTGGGGTAGTGTGGACGGAATTCGACGTTATTGGCCTCCGGGAGCTATCCCACAGTGCTTCATTGTT